AACACTTGGTTTTTAAAAAGTGAAAAACTTAATCACCACAAAGCCAGGAACAACTGAGAAACCACAGCCTTATTTTTAGACAACACATAAATCATCCCGGAAAAGGTCTCTATCCTAAGGATTTCCCCAGATGTACATTCTACAATTCCCTCTGTATTTTTAGTTCAAGAGTCACAAAACCCAAAGTTTGTATTCTTTGTCATTCAAAAAAGAAATCTGCACCCAAAGTGTGAAATTAATGGCCAGCTTTTGCTGTTGTTGTCATTTATCATCTCTGGGAGCAGGATTACGATCTTGAGAAACAGTAGCTACCTCTCTATTTTACTCATGTGAGGTACGTGCAAACCAAAGAATTCTGGTCTTTAAAAAATGTTCCAGGGCTTCCCTGGTGGCGCAGTGGTTGAGAGTCCGCCTGCCGATGCAGGGAACACGGGTTCGTGCCCTGGTCTGGGAAGATCCCACATGCCGTGGAGTGGCTGGGCCCGTGAGCCACAACTACTGAGCCTGCGCCTCTGGAGCCTGTGCTCCGCAACGGGAGAGGCCACAACAGTGAGAGGCCCGCATACCGCAAAAAAAAAAAAAAAAAGTTCCATATATTAACTGACTTATTTTGTTTTGCCTTAGAAACATTCTCTATTGTATCAGTGGGATTCCATTAATGGGATGGGTGTGGGGAAGATGGAGTATTCATCGTTTAAAAAAAATTTTTTTAAAAAGTAAGTTAACTTATTTAGAGTACCTATTAAACGTTCACTTTATGTTCACCTATACATGAACATAAATCACAAAATTAGAGCATAATTCATAAAGCTAGATATTCTGTCAAGTGGGCAAAACCTGTATTGTTCATGGAAGCTTGAACCTAAACATTATAGAAGCTTGAACCTAAGACATTAAGTAGATAAATATGACATATAATAGGTCAGTTATTTCTAAAGTGTAGTAAAGTTGGGGTTAAAAGGGATGATTAAGTAGAATGTGAATTATTAAAATTTTGATAATTATGCATTAATTTTAATAAGTGTTGAAAAATTAATAACACAGTCCTGTGATTTTACTAGTATCATTGTTTAGTACAAAGCTAAACGTAACTTTATAAAAGTATATAATTTGAATGGAAAATATTAAGCAATAATATGTATACTACTCTAGGTATAACTAAAAATGGCACAAACAGTACCAAGATGAATAAAGTTCAGGAAACACTAACACAGGTAACTCGCTAGTATTGGTACCACATCTACTATATGACTTAAGTGTTACAAAACTGAAATCAGATTATCATAGAAAGTGTGGTGATTTGGCTCACCTGTTACCACATTTACATGGCATCATTGGGGAAATAACAGTTCCTTAACATTTAGTTCTTAGGCTTTTTCCATTTAATTACTCTATTCAGTCAATGAATATGGTGAATCTTTGAAAACGTATTAAGCATCTACTATGTACAAGGCCTCTGATGGGTAATTTCCAGGAATATAGAAATCTTTTAAAGACACACCACTTTCTTTCTTTAAAATTTTGTTGATAAGGTTTATTTTGAAAAGTAACACTTTCATAATCAATAATTTAGATAAGAAAGAGGAATATTGAGAAGATTCCCAACAATCCCACTATTTAGACAGAGATCAAAATGTTAGTGGGTTATTTCCTTATAGGCTTTTTTAAATGAAAATATTTATTTTATTAACGAGTTAGAACCAGAATGCACTTACTTTTTTTTTTTTTTTTTGCGGTACACGGGCCTCTCACCGTTGCGGCCTCTCCCATTGCAGAGCACAGGCTCCAGACGCGCAGGCTCAGCGGCCATGGCTCATGGGCCCAGCCGCTCCGTGGCATGTGGGATCTTCCTGGACTGGGGCACGAACCTGTGTCCCCTGCATCGGCAGGCAGACTCTCAACCACTGCGCCACCAGGGAAGCCCTGCACTTACTTTTGTATCATATTTTCCCCCACTTACTGTTTCCATTTTCCCATGCTACTAAATATTTTCTAAAACATGATTTGAAGGACCAAATACACCATTTAACTATTCACCTATCAGTACATGTCGCTGAGTTCTAGCCAATAAAAGTTATCAGAAGGAATGTTCACCGCTCCAGGCCTGGCTCTTAAAACACAACACAGGGGATCCTGCACCTGCTCTTTTTTTCCCTAAACTGCCAGCTAGATGCAAAGAATCCAGTGGAGGGCTTGGGTTCCTCAGGGGATGGGAGATCCACTGAATGGGAAAAGCCTGGATCCCTAACGGGCTGGGAGGGGCGGAGTCCCTTCCCTCCCCACAACCTGCAAAGAGGATGGGACTGTGATGTGATACATTTTCATTGTATGAAGCCCCTGAAGTTGTGGGGTTTGTCATAGCAATAAGTCTACCCTCATTCATTGATGTTCTTCCTCAAAGTCTTAAAATCTTCCAAACTCCTGTTCACTGGTTTGGAAGCACCTTTTCTATGGGCCTTATTTTGACTTTTTCAGTTTGCTTAATCTCAGCTTAAGTCATTTATCTCGTCGTCAACTGGATGCGCGAATGTACTTTATTTCACTTACTGCCACTTCTCAAACCTAAGCAGAACAGGTTGCTGCGCGTGATTTTGCCCTAGAAGACAAATGTTCTACCGAGAACTCATTTAAGAAGGTCCTGCAGGATCTTCTCCTTCTCCACCATCCATCTCGTTTTCTAACACTCTGTACCAAGAAGTTCACGGAACCTACAATCTTTAAGATGTACTTAGTATAGGTATGCTTCAGTATCTCATTTGAGGCCATTATACTTCCAGGACACAATGTAAGGTGAACCACTAGAGGTTTTTGCTCCAGGGGTGATATCGTTGAACTTATATTTTAGAAAAATAATAGTAGTGGTAGGTCGAATGGTTTTAAGAAATAGGAGATTAAACGATGGGAACATGGTAAAGAAACTGCAAAGAAATGTGAATTATAGCAGTGGGAAGAGATGCAAAAGGAAACATCAGTGATGGGGTGGTCCTGACTTGTTAATGATGAAATCTGGAAGGAAAAGTGGAAGAAACTATGAAAGATGTCTTAGAAATTTCTTTTTTAAGTGCCAATGGCTAAATCAGGAGCCTAGGAAGAATAGACGATTTGGTGGGAAAATAAATGAATTGCACTTAACGGAACTGAAACCTTGTGATGGGTCAATCCTCACAAAGATTCAAAACTGAGGAAAAGAAAAAGAACTAGAACTGAATTCTAAACAATGCTGTCTTTTTACATAGCAGAATTTGTGATGAGACTGACAGTGAGTGGCCCGAGAGACAGGAAAACAACCAAAGGCCCAGAAGCCAAGGGATGAAACATTTCAGTAACAGTTCTACTGTACTGTTTAACCCGTCCATTAACTTAGTATATTTTTATTTCTTGAAATTAGGTCTTTTCTCAATTTTACTCATATTTTCAGAGCTCTCTTTTCACTTCTTGAGGTGTATTAAATGTGATTATATTCTGTGTCTGGTAATTCTAACTGCTAAGTTTTCCAGGCAGCCTATTTTGTAGAATATTATTTCCCACCCAGGGCTTTGGGAGTTCAGTGATTTTCAACTGTGAGTGACTCATCTTCTTAGGGACACAGGAACAGGACATTTTTCAAAGCCTGAGGTGAAGAGAGTTCTTTCAAAAAGGATTCACATTTGCAGTTCAGATGCCTTGTGACACCATTAGTCTGGGATCACTTTAAGTTCTTGGTCTGAGGTTTTTCTAGGCATCCAGGTTGTGTGAATTCTGACTGCAAACCAGGGTCAGGGCCACATTATGATGACTAGTTTCCTAGTTGGATGGTGTAGGGTATGTGTAGAGGGACGTTTCTCTTCAGGGTGAGGGGAATGTGTTCACTTAGTTCTCTCTCACCTTGGGGATGGAACCCTTCAGGGATCCTAGTTTTTGAGGTCCTATTAGGCTTTCCACTTTGGGATGGACCCTGAATTTGTTTTCTGTTCCTAAATCCTTGAACTCAGGATGTAAAAGATACTCAGGCACCCTAGGTTTGGCCAAAGCTCCAAGGCAAAAGCCAGCTTCCATACTCAGCTTACCTGTCTGTTCAGTCTTTTACCCTGGTATTTATTTTCTTGTTACCCATGCATGGACGCATTTAGAAAGATTACAGAGGTATTTCACCTGGCACTTCCAGTTGTTTTCATCAGCTCAGTTGGCCCCGCACCTAAACTGCCACTGTTACTTGGGAGATTCTATCTCCAATACAGGTAGTTCCACTTGAGAATATACTGTACACATGAAAATCTAAACCAAATTGCCGAGTAATCACTTACACAGTTTCTTTAAATAACGTGTGCTGCCAGAGCCTTTAAAGAGTTTGTTTTCCAGGTTATTAATTTAACTACTTACAGAGAGCCTGGAAGCAGCACAACAACTTCAGTGATTTGGAACCATAATAGTTGAAGAGTAATCAAAATATACCCATATTCTGACCTATTCTAACCACCTCCACGGTCAGAATCCTCGTCCAGGCTACCACGAGCCCCTGTCCGGATTATGAAAATAGCCTCCTAACTGGTCCTTGCTTTTATCGTTGTTCCTTTCCTTCACAAACCCAGAAGCCAGAGGCCGTGGTCCTACTTGGATGTGAGTTACATCGGGCCACCCCACCCACACTTTCTCAGCCAAAGCTCTCCTCCCGTCCTTGCTTTTCCTAAAACAAGCAGGAATGTTCTTGCCTCAGGGCCTTTGTATCTGCTGCCCTTTCAGCCTGAAGCCACCTCCGCTCAGGTAGCCATTCGCCCTGTTCCCTCAGCCCTTCAGGTCTTGTCCAGATATCATCCCCTCAATGCGACTGTCTCAGACTCTTTAAAATTGAAACCTTCCCTCACTCCCATCCGCATTCCAAATCCCACTTCCCTCCTTGATTTCTTTCCACAGTATTTGTCTTCTACTATACCACCTAAGTAAATGAGTTATTCTTGTAAGCTCTTAGGATAATTCTTGGCACATAAGTGATATACCAGCATCAATAACGATCATTTACATACCTTGTTTATTGTCTGACTCCATGACCACAAGGATTTCTGCTCCTCTAGTTTCCTGCTGTTTCCCATGATTTAAAACAATGGCTAGCACACGATACGTGCTCCAAACACTGCTGAATAAATAGAAATCTCTATAAATATACAATAAAAGATCATAACAAGGGATTGTTAAAAATCTTTTTACATAGTTTGAGAAATAGAAGCCATCCCATAAGACCAAGACCTCAAAGACCATTCTCCAAAAAAAAAGGAATTAAATTTCAAAACTCTTTGCAATATGCCAAAAGGTACATTTATCTAAACGACAGTATTTTTTTATGCAAAAAGATCTATTTCGCATTGCCTTGACCAATAGCTCTAAGAATACCATACTTCACTAAGTCTCGATTTGCATACAGGTACCACAATAACACCCATGCATATCATATGCCCTCACAAGTGAAAAGTCACAAACCAAAGTTTTAAATGACAGTGTTTTGAGCTCCCGTGAAGGTCACCACTCTGGGCCCACGTCTCCCAGGTGTGGCCCTCCAAGTCATCATTAACATACAGCCACGTGTTCAAATAAAGAGAAAGTGTACTGTTCATCGTTCAGTCTAAAAAGATGAAATTTCTGGGCATCAGCCAGGTGGAGAATGACGTTGTTGGAAAACATAAGGCTTAGAATTACCAGATATCTACTCCCAGGCCAGCCTCTAATTCCTGGATCATTTAGGATAATCTCCCTGCGTATACCCAGCATACACCTCAGTTTCATTCGTATGCAACTTTGCTTATCTCCTTTGCAGCCTCAGAAAAGGCTTCTAGGCATAGTCAATTACTAAAAATAACCCAATCTTATTGTAACTAGTCAAAACCATTCAGAAGATGGTGCAAAGCGCTTCTTTGTCGTTCCCATCATGTGCCTTTTGGGCTGCAGGCTGCCTCGGACAAGCAGGACAATGTTCCTTCGTCCTTGGCCCCTTTCTTCTGCTCCACACCGCTTCACCTCCCTGCAGAGAGCCTGCTCATCCAGCTACACCTATGGTGGTCCGGCCAGAGAGATTTGGCAAAATGCATCACCTAGAATCTCACATTCTTTAATATGGGAACCTGATACCTTCAAGAGAAACCAGCCTCTGTTTTGCTAATACAGTTGGCAGTCTGCTGACGGTGGGTTCTAGGTCCTGAAAATATTTGGAAAAAAGAAAATTCCAGAAAATTTCAAAAAGCGAAACTTGAGGGGCTTCCCTGGTGGCGCAGTGGTTGAGAGTCCACCTGCCGATGCAGGGGACACGGGTTCGTGCCCCGGTCTGGGAAGATCCCACATGCCGTGGAGCGGCTGGGCCCGTGAGCCATGGCCGCTGAGCCTGCGTGTCCGGAGCCTGTGCTCCGCAACGGGAGAGGCCACGGCAGTGAGGGGCCCGCGTACTGCAAAAACAAAACACACACAAAAAAAGCAAAACTTGAATTTGTCACACTAATGGGAACTATTTAAATAGCATTTACATTGTACTTAACAACTATTTACATAGTATTTACATTGTATTAGGTATTATAAGCAACCTAGAGATGATTTAAAGTATAAAGAAAGATATGCATAGGTTATATGTGAATATATATCATTTTACACAAGGGACTTGAGCATTCTCAGATTTTGGTCCGAGGGGTCCTGGAACCAATCCCCCTCAGATAACGAGGGACAACTGTACTGATAATCTCTCGGAGCATAACTTTGATGCAACAGAGGTGGAACAGAAAGAAGCTCTTTCAGTAAGAGGCACCAAGAACCCACCTATCTTACATAAAATGAGAGTTGGCTAGACTCTCATTTCTAATTTCCCTTCAAGTATTAAAATTTCATGAAATTAGAGTATGAAATTCACTGAAGAAAGACTCAAGTTCTCAGCAGAGTGTGGTTAAATGACATAAAAAAGTCTTCAAAACTGAAATTTGTCAAGGTATTACTGTAAGTCCTATGACAGTTTGTGCATATAAACTTCCACATCAGTGGGCAGATAGGTAGTTTCAGTTTATTATCTAGGAATTACAGCACTCATTTTGGTCAGATAAAAATGTAGAACGGTGCACCCTCCTTCCCCAGGGCAAAGCCACCTACTTCTAAAATACTTTTGCAAAACATTTAGATATTATCGCCTTTTAAGATCTATTGATTCAAAATGATTAAAGCATGGGGAAGAAAAGTACCTGAACCTCTATACACATTATCAAGTCGTACAAAGACACTGAAACTCTTAAAGATTAGGGAAAACTGAGATAAAGAATTTTATAGCTGAGGTGAAGTGGGGAGAGTGACTAGCTTCGGTTTCTAAGATTTTTATTTTTTAGTGACAGAAGTACCTGATATAATTTTTATTAGCTATAAAAAAGATTGGGTTATTTTTAGTAATGGACTATGCCTAGAAGCCTTTTCAGACAACTCAAAAGACAAACAACAGAATTGCATACAAAGCAACTGAGGTATAGACTGCAGAGAGCTTATGCGGAGAGATTACCCTAAATGATCTGAGAATCAGAGGCTGAACAGGAAGTAGATACCTGGTAATTCCAAATCTTTTATTTTCCAACTATGCCATACTGCATTTTGCTAATGCCTGGAAAGTTCACCATTTTTTTAATTTGCATTTTTTAAATTAATTTTTATCGGAGTGTCGTTGCTTTACAATGTTGTATTAGTTTCTGCTGTACAACAAAGTGAATCAGCCATATGTATACATCTATCCCCTCTTATTTGGATTTCCTTCCCATTTAGGTCACCACAGAGCACTGAGTAGCGTTCCCTGTGCTATATAGTAGGTTCTCATTAGTTATTATTTTATACATAGTAGTGTGATTATGTCAGTGCCAATCTCCCAATTCATGACCCACGCCCTGGCATTGTCTGTTCTTTACGTCTGTGTCTCTATTTCTGCTTTGCAAATAAGTTCATCTGTATAATTTTTCTAGATTCCACACTGGAAAGTTCATCTTTTCTTCAGTTATCTTCTAACAAGTGAGCAAAGAACAAGAACATTTTCTCTTCCTGTACATATATGCAGTATATCTTCTATCACACAATGTTTCCAAACTTGCTTAAAACATAAGAGTGAGCATGTGAAACACAGCACATGTCAACTATGCTTTCACTCCTTCTCCCCCAACACAGCAGGTCCTGTGTGCTAGGCACTGTGAACGTCTGGGAAGATGACACCAAATGAGGACATGGCCTGATGGGGGTGACAGACCGCTGAGTAAGCAATGACAAAGCTGAGCCCTACATGCCATGACCAAGCATGAACAGGGGGCTCGGACAGCATAGGGTAGGGCTGGGGTCTGAAGAGAACGGAGGAATCTGGAGGAACTGATGTATAAAATGATTCTGAAGGATGATGGGAGTTTGGTGGGAGGTAGTTGGTGCTGAAACTAAGAGAGTGTTCCGGGTAAGGGAATAACCTGTGTGAAGGCCTAGAAGGGAGAGAGAACTTGGCCCATTCCAGAAACGGAGAGAAGGTCAACATAGCTGCAGTTTAGCTTGGAAAAGAGGACTCGTGGCCCAGCTGAGCCTGTGGAGGTAGCAGAGGCTGGCTCGCAAAGGTCTTTGGAATAAATTGAGAGGTTTGGGCTTAATTCTGAGAGCAATGGGAAGTTGCTGAAGGGGTTCCAAACAAGACTGTTAGGAGACAGAATGTGGTTCAGTCGCCGCTTAAATAAATGGTCAAGTCAGAAGAGCACTTCTGAAATATGGGAGTCTGAAAACACTACAGACCCCTGGAGAGGTAGTGTTCTACAGCATTCAATCTAAAAGTTTTTTTTTTTTAAATAAATTTATTTATTTATATTTGGCTGCGTTGGGTCTTCGTTGCTGCTTGTGGGCTTTCTCTAGTTGCGGCGCACGGGCTTTCTCTAGTTGCGGCGCGCAGGCTTTCTCTAGTTGCGGCGTGCGGGCTTTCTCTAGTTGCGGCGAGCAGGGGCTACTCTTCATTGTGGTGCGCGGGCTACTCACTACAGTGGCTTCTCTTGTTGCGGAGCACAGGCTCTAGGCGTGCGGGCTTCAGTAGTTGTGGCGCGAGGGCTTCAGTAGTTGTGGCACGCGGGCTTCAGTAGTTGTGGTGCACGGGCTCAGTAGTTGTGGCTCGCGGGCTCTAGAGCACAGACTCAGTAGTTGTTAAAAGGGTTTTAAAATAAGCATTTCTGCCTTCACAACAGCGTAGGAGACCATTAACCTCATCAAATGGAAGCCCTAGTGACAACAGTCTTTATTCCAGATGAGCACAACTCAGGAATTATCCATCTCTTTATTACAGAAATAGTAATACATGCCAGGAAAAAAAAAAAAGTATAGAGGCAGAATTTGACTTGGTTGTATTCTACACAAGAGTGTAAATTTAAAAGTTTCAACCATCTATTAATATCACAGGACAATCAGAATTTCAGAATTGGAAGGGGTGTTCAAGATTCTTTGGCCCAACACCTTCGTTTTAGAGTTGAAGACACAGAGTATTTCTTTGCAAGATAATCAGAAATGAGCAATTATTTAAGATCTGAATTCTTTTTGAAAGACTTCAGCATATCATAATGGTAAGCGAAATACTACAAATAATAAATGGAATAACGAGTATTCTGATTTCCAGTGTTGTTCTTAAGCCTCCAAAGACCCTGACCTCCTAGGATTCAAAGCCTTGTGTGGCTCCCTTCCACACGGCACCAGACCACAGCTTCTGGACCCCTGTCTCTCTCTCTTTCTCTCCCTCCCTCCCTCTCCCAGATCTTTCCCTGCAGGAAGCCAGCTGCCTCGTCCTGAGCAGCTCTGTGACAAGGAACTGAAGTGTCCCTCAGTAGCCCGTGAGGCCTGCCTGTTGGCCTTGGGAGTGAACTTGGAAGCAGGTTCCTCCAGGCCCACCTGACAGCCTGGCAACAACCTCAGGAGAGACCCTGGGCCAGAGCCACCTAGATGGGCCACTCCTGGATTCCCAACCCTCAGAACTGCATGAAATAGTAAAAATTTGTTGCTTTAAAATGCTACATTTGGGGGTAATTTGTTATGCAGTAAGAGATAACTAATAAACACTGTCCAAAATTAATATATTCTTAACAAACTTAAGAATATATTCTTAAGTAAAAAAAATTTTTAAAGTATATTTTTTATACTTAAAAAAAATTAAATAACAATTATTTTCTAAACAATATAATACATTTTTTTTTTTTTTTTTTGGCCGCGTGGCTTTCGGAATCTTAGTTCCCTGACCAGGGATCAAACCTGGGCCCCAGGCAGTGAAAGCACCAAGTCCTAACCACTGGACCACCAGGGAATTCCCTATAATACATTCTTAACTTAAAAATACGATCACGGATGTTCTTCTTTGAAAAGAGGTGATCAAACGGTTTACAGAATAGGCACTAGGATATTTAACCAGTAATTTATAGGTCACTGAGACTAATTTAACCTGAGCTCTTAACAATCACATATAGTTAAAATTGAACTTTGGTTGCTAATAGTACTTGCCCTCGGCTATGTGTTCCCATTTCAATACATTTTAATTCTTTCCTTCCTTTCTTTCTTCCTTTTTTGGAAACCTCAGTAGACACAATGATCTGAATTTAAATTAAAATTATCACTTCCTTCTTAGTCCTGAGTAACCCTAGTAGGATTCAAAGTGAGGGGAAATAACAGTCTACCAGCTGATGGTGATAACCATGATAGCTAAAATAATCACCTTTCTAATTAAATAAAACCCACAAAGTTTTATCCTTGGAAGGAGAAGCTCCAGGTAAGGAGGACCAGCAGTTGATATAGTCCTGGTGTTTCTTCTAAGTTTCATCTTCCGTTTATATTCTCAATCCAATTATTCATTATTTCACCAAAAAATATTTATTGAACCCTTTCTACAAACGGGATACAATGATGAACTGGACAGACAAGGCTCCGTCCTCACATACCTTATGTAATTATCAGGGAGGGAGAGGTAGAGCACCCAGCAGGGTACCAGTCCCAGTGTGTTGGTGGGAAGGGCCCTAGGGGATGGGAGGGATTTGGGAGGAAGCATGGGAAAGCTTTTGTGTCACTTCAGGCAAAAAGAATCCCCCCGCCTGGAAGCAAAGGGAGTTCAAGACACACTTAGCAACTCAGATGTTCAGCTTGGCTGCAGGATAAAGAAGGAAGGAAGGAGTGGTTAGACCCCCGGAGCGGGCATCTCACCTCTAAACAGCAGCCCCGGCAAGGGCGCAGCTCCTCATGGTGGGTTCCCCTCGGACAGAGCAGACAGGGGAAGAATTTAAAAGCAACGAATCTTGAGGCCCTGACCTTTTGCATCCTAAGAACATTTATATTCCGGGCCCAGAAGGCTAGCCCAGCTTGGCAAGGAGCATGGACGCAGCCACACGAATTCTGAGACTAGAAATCTAATCTCTAAAAATCTGATTTCTCTAGAAATCTAGTCTGCTTTGAATCCCAGCTTGAGAACAATGGTGACGCCAGCCCCACTCACGTGGCGTAAAGATTAAATGCAGTAACACGTGTGAAGCATCCTGCAAACACCAGGCATTCAAAAGAATTATCTTTCCCCCATTACTGTGGAGCCCCCAGCTGAAGACACCATGTCACCACCTGCCACATGAGCCACCATAACCTGACAGAGGACAAGGCTCTCTTGGCCGTCCCGTGTCCCTCCAATTAAGTTCTGGTCTCAACCCTCTTTCCCGGCGAACCCCGGGTTAGACAAACCAGAAGTATTCCCCTACAACAATCCCTGTCATATGGTAACTGTAGTATTCATTAAGAAAAAACGAACTGCACCCAGACACACTGAGACTTGCCCCATTACTCTATCTGTACTTTATATTTGCACATGTACTTGACCTCCATTATTCCTTTTGATGATATTGTGAGGTGAGTATTGCAATCACTGTCCGGCAGACAAGAGCCCAAGGTTCAGAGAGGTTAAGTGACTGACCATGAACTAAGCTTTGGATGCGTGTAGCTCCTCATTTTCTAAACAGTTGGGTCAACTCTGCTGAGGCTGCCTCCTTGCAAATGCTGCAACAGGCTTGTATTTTATACTTTGAGTTTCTTTTAAACATTGCTAGGGGCTTCCCTGGTGGCGCGGTGGTTGAGAGTCCGCCTGCAGATGCAGGGGACACAGGTTCATGCCCCGGTCCGGGAAGATCCCACATGCCGCGGAGTGGCTGGGCCCGTGAGCCATGGCCGCTGAGCCTGCGCGTCCGGAGCCTGTGCTCCACAACGGGAGAGGCCTGCGTACTGCAAAAAAAAAAAAAAAAAAAAAACATTGCTAGGACTCAGAGGAGCCTGGGCTTTTACAACCATATACCCACTGGTCAATTTCTAATTTTGTGTCCTTTCACACGTATTTTAAGTTCTCTGTGCAAAACTTAAAGGGGGTGGCAGGGTCATCTCTGAATACCATTTCTGCCCAAGAATCCTTCTGATTGCTTTAGGGAGTGATAAGGACCACTTTCAATTTGCACACCTGCCTGACTATGCCCATAAGAGTAAAAATAAAGCTTCCTATTTTCTTAATAATCAAAAGCTGTCTCCTCTGACTGCGCAAATGAGAGCACAAACAGAAGGTTTCATTACTCCTGGAAGACTTCGGCTGCTGACTTCAAATGCAATTATTCCCTCATGTGATAGGAGTAAGATCCCTTGAAGGTCACCTCCTCCAAGCCCAGTCTCTGTCTAAGGACGTCTGCTTTGCAAAGGAGCCCTCCCCACTGTGAACAGCCCAAGTTGGGTCCACAAATGATCTTGTTCCTGCTTTCCACAGTTACCTAAATAAACCTTTCCCCAAGCACCCCTTCCTTTCACTGTTTCTCTGAAGGTGGTGCACAGATGAGCTGGGTCAGAATCACCTGGGTACAGGTGCTGCCTGGGTCCCCACATGGACCTGAATTGACTCAGGAGTGGGGCAGTAGCTTTCTACATTACCCAGCCGGTTCATACTTTATCAATCAAATTAAAGTCCAGGTCTTTTTCATCAAAAAAAAAAAAAAAGGTCTTCAGCAGTCTCCCTCGTCCTATATGAAAAGCAACTGATTTTGATTTAAGTAGTTGATAAAAATGCTGAGTCAGACAGTGACTTGTATTCAACCCATGACAGCCCTCCAGGTGCTGTATGTATTGGGCTTACATGCATTACTCTGCACAATTATCCAGCCAAGAACAGACCTGACCATATTGTCAGCCATTCTACATTTCCCCCTATTGTTCACTGCAAATATTTCGTGGGAATTCTGAAATGATTGGCATCTACAGAAATCCCCAATATACTAGGTAGTGTAACCCAAACCATGAAGCACATGGAGTTGGTCTGGTACAATTCTTTATCTATCCTGAATGAAATTCTCTATTTCATTCTAGAAATTTAAATAACCGGGTTTCACTTGTTTTAAAGTACCTGCAGATAGGAGACAATATTAAGGAAGAAGGATCAACTTTTACCATCCTAAAACTTAGGAGAAGATATTAAACATTCTGTTCAACTTGAATTAGGCAGATACGAGGTCACACTGATAACATAATCACGTGCATCTGGCAATAGAGGCGACTGACATCTTTGTTCGGAGATATGGGCACAAAAATTATTTCCTCCGGCCGGGGCATCTGGCTAAACATTTGTCAATACCCTTTCCCGTGTAATGTAGGTCTCAGGCTTCTGAAAGGCTTTTGAAAAACAGAAATCAAGGAACCTCCATCAAGCGGCAAAAATCGGGTCTGAAGGAGGCGACGAGGGTGGAGTATTTTTTTTTTTGAGTATTGTTTTACAAACCCCGAAATCCTCGGTCCTAGGAATAGAAACTTAGCCCTTGAACAAGGTTGGTATTGCTTATTCCCACTAGGTTGTTTTTCTTCTAATTAGCTCTGAGACAGCGACGTACTACCCGCTTTCCAAGTAGAGCTCCTGGGGTCCGGTGATATTTGCACATCACACCTGGGCCTTTCGATACAAATCCGGCTCCTTAAGGAGCCGTGTGAAGAAGCGAGCACAATCAATAAGGAAATATCCTCCCAGCTATAAATCAGCCACGTGGAGCTGCGGCAACGGCCGCCGCGACTTCCTGGTTTCCTTCCCGCCCGCCCCGCGGCGGGGGCCGGGGGGCCGGCGTTACAGCCCGAAAGGACAATAAAAGTTGGGGACCCGGTCAGCTTTTAGGGCTGAGCGGTGGGGCCGAGGCTGAGGACAGACCTGGGGAGAGTGTAAGTTAGTCGCATGTAGCAGGACCTGGGGGGGTCGGGGGGACGGCGGCGGGGAAGGGGCTGCGGACCGGCCGGGGGCCGCCCAGCGAGGGCGTGGGGGCGGGAGCGGCCGGGGGAGGGAGGGGAGAGCGGGGGTGGGGCGGCCCGCCAGGCGAGGGGAGTTCCGGATCGGAGGCGGGGAGGGCGGCCGCCGGGCGGCGGGGGCGGGAGGAGGAGGCGGCGAGCGCGGGGGGGAAGGAGGGAGGGGAGAGCGGTGGCGGCGGCTGCGCCCGGCTGTGCGCCTCTCGCCGCCGGAGGAAGATGAGGCTGAAGATCGGGCTCCTCTTACGCAGTTTGCTGGTGGTGGGCAGCTTCCTGGTGCTGGTGGTCCTCTGGTCCTCCCTATCCCCGCGGCCGGACGAGCCGAGCCCGCTGAGCAGGATGAGGGTGAGTGACCCGCCCGCCCCCTCCGGCGGCGGAGAGCTGCAACTTGTTTTGTTCGCGCGCCTGGCGGGAGCGGGGTCGGCGGGTCGAGCGCGGGCTCCGCAGGTGGCGCGACGGGCGGGTGGGGGCCCCGAACCCCGCGTCCGGTCCCAGCCCCCACCGCACCTCCCCGCGCCACCCCGCCCCGCGCTGCGGGGGGGGGCTCGGCGGCCGCCCTCCGCACCTGGAACGCGGGCTGGAGGAGAGAAGGGCCGGGCCAGGACCGCCGCGGCAGCAGCCGGGGACGCGGGGCTGGTCCGGGCTGCGGCCTGTGGCGCGCGCATGCCTGACGGAGGCGAGGGGCCGCGGCCGCCGCCACCGCCGGTGCGGACCAGGCCCCTGGGTCTGGCCGCCCCCGCGCGTCCAGGGCGCCCCCCTCCTCCCGGTCTCCGGCGCCCCCGGCTGCCAGCCCGGGTGGGAACGCGCGGCCCCGCCTCCGGCTCCGCGGAGAGCGCCGCCCCCTCGGCTTCGGCGCCGAGACTGGCGATGCGCGGCCGAGGCCTCGCCCAGAACCGGCCTCCCTCCGCCTCCCGCTCCCTCGCTCCCCCTCTCCCCTCCCGGCGGCCGCTCTCGCCCGCCTGCGGACCCCCGCCCCGGAGCCCCCTCCATCGGCCGCCCCGTCGGGCCGGAGCCCGCCTCTCCTCCCCTCTTCCCTCCCCAGGTTGCGGCCGGGCCGCGGGGCCGCCAAACTAACTTGTGCGGTCGACGCCCGCGCCGAGGGCTCCTCCGGACGCGCTGTCCGCCGCCCGACTCTCCCGGTCTGTGGGGCTCCGTCGGCGCCCCGGGACGTGGGTGACCTGGGCCCCGGGCTGCGGCCCCGCTGACCCGGCCGCGCCCCCGGCCCGACCTGCCCGCCTTTATGGCCGCGCCCCTCCTTCCCCTGGGACGCGGGAGCCGGGGGCTCGGGGGCTGGGCAGCTGTGCTGCTTCCAGCGCCTTGTGCAAACAGCGTCTGCATTGCATCCGAGGGGTCGCCTTTATTAACTTTCCTTTTGGAAAGTTAGCGTCTGGAAGTAGAGGGAGAAGGCGTCCTTTCAACACTAAGAATCGTAGGAAGAGATTCCCTTATCTGCTCCTGCCCCTGTGACGAGGGAAGGTTTACGCTTGAGATTTACTCTTAAGTTTTAGTGTGTATTTGAAGACACAACGGCACTGGAATCTCTTTATAACGTCTGGGGTGGATTCCCGTCTAAGTCATCTAAGTTAATGGTAATAAAAAGTACCCAGTTTTCCTTTTGAATGTGTTTGTGGTTTTAAGTCCCTCAGCTCTCATGGAGTGATGGTGACCTCTTTATGATTTTGCTTCAAAATGACTTATTGAGAAAGGACGACTGAATATTGCAGTTGTTTGAAAGCATTTGTGATCAAATGGCCTTTATACCGAGAGCTAATAAAGACATAAAGATGCCATTTCCTGGGGGAAGAAATTGAGGAAAGAGTGACAAAACTAGCCATATTCAGAATGTTCTGCAGTTCAGATAACAAGTCTTCTAAAGGGGTGATGGAGCGTCAGCCCCAATGCCTATTTCCTCTGAAATAATATATTAGTGCTGGTGCAAGTACTGAGCCACGAGCTCATTTAATAGCTGTAGGAGGTGGTTATAACTTGAATTTTGGTCCAACTTATTGGATAAAGTTTGTCGGTGGGTCCAGGGTAATTTCTGTCATTTGCCAAAGACTGAAGCTAGATTTTTAAGACTTTCAAACAATTTAAGAAGAATGCTTTATGTATGCGGAGAGCCAAACCCTTTTATTAAGTTTGCGGGTAAATATTAACTAAGCAAGTTAAGGTATAGCTTATAAATCATAAAAGCATAAATAAGGGACTATTGCCTCCCTTTAATAAAAGCTAATCTAAATGTTTCTGAAATACAGCAGTAGAAGGACATCTCCTTTCGGGAAAATTCTGACTCTGATTGTGATTACACATACTCCACTCACTGTGAAACACCTGCCTCTCCTTAACACTAATCCATGTATAGGGCTTTTTTGGATTCTGATAAATGGCCTGAGATAGTCTAGGACAATCCCATTTACCAAATACAGGTTATCCTTCTATTCTAGCAAGCTGGTCTTGGTGGGTCCACCCTGTGCAGGTTTTTGCCTCATACTTTCAGTGTTCCAGGCACAAAAGTCTGCCGTAGCCTGGTGCTTTTTTTTCCCTGGACTACTTCCTCCTTTAGATCTGCCCAGCAAAATGCGTCTCCTGTGGTCAAGACAAGAGGAGCACATTTATTTTCGCTTTCCCATCTCCGGGCCTCTTGCTGTTTCTCTGATGTGAATGATGTGAAAAGTGATCTTACCGTTCAAATTGTACTCTGTTGTATACGATTTGATTTATTCAACAAACATTTTTGAGTACCTCCCATGTCCTGGTGCTAGTTGTTAAGAAAGTACTCCTTGCTCCTAAACTCATGGATCTTGTAGGCTAGTGGGTCAAAAATCACATTAATCAAGATTTCACAAATCTGTAAATAAAAATTGTGCCACCACATGCTATGAAAAAAAAAAAAAAAACCCATAGGGGGTAAGAAAATGGAGGAACTTGGTCATATAAAGCCTTACCTGAAGAAATGGCTTTTGAGTTGAAATCTGCTGATCTGGGTATGAGAGGGGGACACCCCTGAGAGGGAGAAGTATGTGCAAAGGTCCTGAGGTAGGAGGTAGCATGGTGAGCTGAGGCAGTGGAAGAAGGCCAGCGTAATCACAAGATGGAGGGCGAGGGTTCAGAGAGACCATGCCAGGAATCAGGTCTTTAGAGCAGCCGTTAACTCCAAGGATGGAGCTCGTCGAAGGATTTTGAAATAGGGGAGAGGTGGGCTGAGATTTGTGCTTTGAAAAGACCACTCTAGCTGAATTGGTTTAGAGCAGATAGGAATCCTGTTGGAGGTTATGATAGCCCAGGTGAAACGTGATGTTGATGGCATTGGCAGGGTGACGGTGGAAGGAGAGAAAAGTCAGTTGATTCAAGAGCTATTAAACGAAGATGCAGAGGCACCAGGACTAGGTGTCTGCATGTGGGAGTGAAGGAGAAGGAAGGTGTCCAGAAGCACCCCATAGGCGGTAGAAGGATGACAGATTGTTTATTACATGGAAGGTTCTGAAGACAAAATCCATATGTTCTGATATTACGTTTTATGGTTATAATGGGAAGGCTTATCATCTTAGGCTTTGTCCTCTGAATATTTTAAGGTCAGCATTTATTAAAACCATCTGTTTAGTACTTGCAAAGCGTAGACAGTACCTTTAATTAATAAATTATAGTATCTCCCAGACCATTTCTCCCGGGTTTCGGTGCTGAGTGTTTAACGTTGAATCATTAGTCTCTGAAAATACAGGTCTGGAATGGAGATGTTGAAAGACCTTCAGTGGCTCTTTAACAGCAAATTCAGTACTCGTGAGAAGCTGCATGTAAACTGGCAGCTCTCTGTATGTGCAAATGTTACTTGACTCAAACTATTAATGCCACTTAGGCACAGAGCATCCATTGCTAGATGGAGAGGTTTTATGGGATAAGCTAAGACCAGTGGGAAGGAGCATTGCTTAATGAGGCTGTGACTGAATTGATCACCCAGTCAGTCAGGTTCTACCTTAACAAAGCCTTTTATCTCAGCGATGATCCGCTGCAACCAGAAAAGCTCTGCCCTTGAACATGAGATTTCTGTTTCAAATGGAAGCTTGTTTATTAGGGATGGAGCTATCACTTAGAAGAAATGTAGTGTCTTAAGAGGTCACTGTTGTTTCAGTTCCCCAAGTGAAATGCCCTGGGATTAGTTTTCATTTCATTTTGCTGTCCTCCCCGACCCTTGCAGTTAAAAACTCCCTGATTACCAAGTCTAAGAAATTTAGGCTCCGTAGGCCTCCTGAAATTAATGCTGAGTTTTGCATACACGTGCGTTCTTCTGGGCGGCTGAGAATCAGAAGCTTTCAGGTTTCTTAAAGGTACCTGCAAAGCACTGAGTCCTTGGGAGGCGGAATGCCTGTTTCCTGCCCATGGAATTTCTCCCTCGTCTTCCATGGTGCTGAAGCACTCATTACACCCTGGAAATGCAAACATTCCTGAGAATTGCTGTATCTGCCGATTCTGTGGAAGTGTTTCCCGTCCAGTGCTGGAAGGTCAGGCATCAATCCTGTTACTACCACCCCCCTTCCCCCACTGAGAATACCAAGACAGTCTCAAGGAAAAGTCCCTGTTCTTAAAGGGATCACATCCTAGTTGAAAAAAAGGATGCAGCACCCACATGGCCTGGGCTCCTTCTCCATCCTTACTCTGGTAGCTGGGTAAGGAAACCTCGCTATGGGAACTGTCACAGGACGTTTCCTTAGCGGGTGGTGAAGGCTTAGAATAGCCATTCGGGGAGTGCACGATTATTAGTAAAAAAAAAGAATGGAAACTGTTGAGCTGTTGAATCTGGGTAACTATTTTGTGATGGGGTCGGCTGCATGGAATGGGAGATAAGGTGTGGGCTTCGATTTGTTAATAGTGAATTAGAGGCAGGGAGAAAGAAAGGAATGCATCGTGAATGAACATCACAGTTCTGAGCTTGGGCCATTTGTAAACAGAATATTTGTAACTTCTAACTTGATTTGTTAAAAAAAAGGTTGGTCAGGAAGATTTGAACAGCTGGTGACTATTGGAACATGGTTGTGCTTATTCAGCTCCAACCTCGACTGTTGCCTTTGTTCATCTTTTAGATTCTAATTTTCATCCCTGAAGAATGAATGTACAATCTGACAGAAGAAGAAAAGCAGTGGAATCAAGAATTTAAAATTTCTAGAGTAGAACGGACACAGCCTGAGGCTATGAAAGGAATGATTTTATGGTTGGAGTTCGTGTGGTGGAAGAGGGAAGGGTGAGAAGGTAGAATATGTGTTAACGACGTGGACAGAATTCTGTGAGAACTGGGAGAGGTGTTTGTACTGTAAACATGGCTGTCATTCACTCAACAGACAGTTCGAATATCCCTTGAGTGTTTACTAAGCACCATCCGTGGCTCTAGGCCTTGGAGAGGCTATGCTGTAGAGGAAGTAGAAAGCTTTGGCGGAAGGAAGATGCTACTCAGGTCATGACCTACTAACCACACAGAAGGTGTTGGTCCATAAGAACAGTCATTCTCTTTCCACTCAGGAATCAGGCCTTGTTACCACACCTCCCAGCCTCCAGCCTTCCACCTGCTCTAAACAGTGAATCGAGGAAACTGGAGGTACTGGGCTAGCGCCGGGGATGCAGGGGTGTTGAGGACACGGGCTCCATTTCCTCTCACACGCGAGGGTGTCACCGCCACCCAGAGGTTCCTCCCCAGCTGCAGGAGGTGGATGCTCGGAGGCCAGAGCCCGGCATTCAGCTCCACCTGGAGCGTCGGTGGGGTTCCGACAGGGTTCCAGATGGTAGGAATGTGGTGAGACCAGAGGGAAGGCCGACAAGTGGTGGAACTGGAGGTTGGAAAAGTAAGTTGAGGCCCTGTTTTGAAGGTATTGAATGGCAGGCTGAGGAACTGGGTTGGGGCTTTACTGATTCAGCAGTAAGAGCAGCTTTTTGGAAGCTTTTGAAATGGAGTTGGGGCGTGGTGACGTTCAGCTGCTGATTCCCTGAGTCAAGGATTCAAACACCTGTTGTCTGTGAAGTACCATCTACTGCTCTAGACATTGGAGGTACTATAAAGTAGTAAAAAAAAACGCTGTCATAACAGATCACATCTGTGAGTCCTCTGTGCCAGGTCAGCATTCTGCGTGTGTGGTGTTAATTGTAGCAATAACCCTCCCATGCAGTCTGATGTAATCCTCACTGAGTTACAGAGCCTTGAACCCTGCCCAAGGTCATTTACACAGTCTCAGCACAGTCCTGACTTCTGCTGTGCCC